CTCGGATTTGTGTCCCACACGAACGAATGGACACACCTTCTTACTTCTTACCTCAAAACTGGGGCCTCCTTATAATGAGAGAGAGAGAGAGAAATGGGGTTTAACTTCCACTCGACACAAACTAGGTCATTTCGGGACTAACATATGGTTTAATTTTATTTCATAATTCGCTTGCGCGTAGGGGTCTTTAGCAGTGGGAGGAAACCGGAGGACCCGGAGAAAACCCACGAGGTTGGACAGGCAACCCTACTCCTTGTCACGTACAACCGGGGATACGAAACCACGCCAGTTGACTCAATGACAGGCCTTATGATACAGCGCGCGCACGTGCTAACCATTCGGCCATCCACCCCACCCCACCCCTTATTAATGAACATTATTAATGTCCGTTAAATACTCAAATATACGCATATCAGCATTTACAAGCCACCCTATCTTTCTCATCCAAATAGGGGAGTCGGGATGACGAAAATCCGAGGTCCCGTGTACACACTGGTGTGTACGTAAAAGAACCCCTGACAGCTGGAATTCGATTTAAGAGTGGGTCGTAGCGCCACTGTTCGGACAAAATGTCCCTCATAGCAAGGTGTATGCCGTATGTTTGTCTTCATAGCTGAGTCGATGTAGAACAGTAGAACGTTAAACTCCATTTCATTTCATATCATTCCATCTAGTTTGTGCACGGTAGACGGTAGACCCATCATCTCCTGGTAGATACGCAATATAAAAAAGACGACTTCTTTGAATTAGAGAAAACATAATGTGTGGGTTTTAATTAAGTTATAAAACCACTTCTCGTTTCTGGAGTTCACGTACCGAACACATACGTGTTCTACATTTTCGACGTTGGTCTACATTTAAAATCTTCAACCTGATACCACGTTTCGTTTGAGGAGTTGAATATGGATATAGAATGTTTTTTCTTGGTCCAATTTAAGTAATATGTGCTTTGTAAAAATGCATTTGTAAGATTTAGATAAAGAGCTGTCCGCTCATCCTATACTAGTTCAAAAATAGATGATGAAAATGTTTATTAAACATTTTATACAAATTACTTTATTCTTGGAGAAGTTATGCATGTTTGAAGATGTAGCGTGGATCCTTTATTATCGTAGTAGAGGTACTTGACTACCTCGATTATCTATTTTATCCAGATCCAACGGAAGCAATTTATGATTGAGGGTACCATCCTGGGACTTAAGGCGAGGATCCATCCTTTAGGTGAGAGTCCAGGGGCCGCCCAGGCCCCTGAACCTCTTAGGGGTCTAGATCGTCGGAGATGCTTTCTAAACGATTTCTGGCTAATGAAATTACTCAGCGGGGAAGTTTTAATTCTTTTCTAAATCCCTTACTATGAAAACGCAGTTGATGGCGGTTTCCTGTGATATTGAACTGAACAAATATATGCATAATAATATGAAGGTTGTGGATCACCAGGGATCACAATTTTATCCGATTATGGTCAAACTTACAATGTATGTTTATATTCCAAAGATCTCGGTTCCTGTCGATATTCCCGGATTATGACCCCTGATTGTACGAAAAATTACATTATGAGCTTCTGGACTCTCTAGAGGTTACAATTTTCAATTGATTGTAAAAACCGTTCAAACGTCATCGTTACATCATAACTGACTGAAACTGCACGACAAAATGGCCGCTTCCAAGGTTGTGGACCATCTAGAGGTCAGAATTTTCATCCGATATTGGCGCGTATTGGACCGTACCTTCTGGATTATGGCCCCTGTTTTTTGGGGGTTTTTTTTAAAAAAAACCTGTTCAAATATATCACAGTTACACCATAATTATGGGTGAGGCCGAATTTTGCTGAAAATCGGACCGAAACTTCCAATCAAATGGCCGATATCTCCTCATTTTCTGAATAAATATTGTTTATATAAAAAAAATGGCCGATCCCCTTTACGCAAATTGTGTAAAAGCATGTAATACCAAGGTTGTGGGTCGTCTAGAGACAACAATTTTCATCCGATTTGGATGAAACTTAAAACGAATGTCACTAGTTCTTGAATGAGTTCAATTATGGTGCACATCAGCCGGATGCCTTTTACGCAAAATGTCCCATATGAATAAAGTTTGAGGACCTTCCTGGGGTGATAATTTTTGTCCGATTCAAAAGATGAACCTTAAACTATGTGTCAAGGATCAAAAGTTCTTGGATGAGTTCGACTTTCGTACTCATCAGATCTTTCTTCTAGAACTATAGCCAATGCTCTTTTTTTTCGCAAAATGTGAAATATGTATGAAGATTGTAGGCCATCCAGAGGGCTACAACCGTTCAGATGAAACTTAACAAATATGTTAAGGATCAACTTATCTTGAGTGTATGAGTTCTTTTTACCCTTCCCCATCCATTGCTTCCAAAATGTGGATGTATCTTGCATGGCAACCGCTTGTTTTAACTGGCATAAGCAGTGAATTATTTGGATATGGGACACACGGAAAGAGTGCGAGAAAAACTCTACCCCGTTGTTTTTTTAATTACCTAATCTACCATAGATACAACGTAAGTGAGATGGGCTTGAAATAAAGATCGACTGTTCAGTTAACTAATCGCGACTCTCGCAACTGGGGGATCAGTATAGAGTAGCCTATAGCAGAGTGTTTTTTTTCTGACAGTCTACATTCTAAAAGTCTCACTTCTATGTTAAAATGAAGCCTCTTCCAGTTTCGTCATCCTATCTAACCGAATAGTTACTTGCGTGCAATAACCCAGAGAAAGGAATACTTGCGGTCAAATTATTGCCCCTCCCCCCCCCACTCACTCCGCCGGGCCTGATATCGTTAGATTTTTAATAATTTATGTAACATTTGAGGACAAAGAACCACAATAGGCAGATTTATCTCTCACATAATGCATCTTTAAGTAGAACCACGTAACATAATTTCTAACTCAAGTCCGTTGTTCTGGCTCATGGTCACCACGGAAGATTACAAAAATGACAAATGACCTTCAGAGGTCAGTTTGACAAAGGTCAGATATTTTTGATTATCCTGACCGTGATAATTAGATAAGGTAGTCGAGAATGTTGATGGTGTAGACAATTTATGATGAATCAAATATATCTGGTTAATATCGATGTTGATCAAGTCTACAACAATGGTTGGTGCTAATGACTTGCTAATGATTATATTTTCTTATTATATTGAAAGAGAGATAATAAATATTGTTTATTATAGAAACTCTGAGTAATTATGTGTTGAAGGCTCCTATGTATTAAACGCAGAGTCTGTCATTGAGTCGAGTGACGTGGGTTCGATTCCCCTGTTGTACGTGGCATGGAGTAGGGTCGCCCGTGCAACCTCGTTGGGTTTCTCCGGACGCTCCACATTCATCTCACTGCTAAATTATTGAAATAAATCTGTTAGTCCCGAAATCACATAATTTGTGTCGAGTGGACGTTAAACCCCATTTCATGTCCCTTTATTCTAATGGGGGGGGGGGCGAATGGTTAGCACGTGCGCGCTGTATCATAAGGTCTGTCATTTCCCCGGTTGTACGTGACAACGAGTAGGGTTTTTATGTTTGGTTTGTTTGGTTTTTTTTTTTTTTTTTATTTTTTTTATTTTACACGATCAATAAAATTGTACAGCTAATTGCTACATTTTAATTACAAATTGTATCGACTAGCCACCGCGTCTATCGGGTGACTCTGTGGTTCCCTCTTGTCAGTGAGTGCCCGACAAGGAACAGCGTTTAGTCTTTCGGATGCATAGCACACTAGCCCGGTTGGTTGAGAAAACCCCATTTTATTCCATTTTTATATCAGGTTACTAATTGAAAAAATATTTATTATCGTAACAACAAACGAGGCTACACGTACTGTTGTTGCACTGGCGATAACTCGGCTCTGAGTGAAGCAATTTGACAGAGGTTTTCAACATATCCCCTTTTCATTATCAATTCTTAACTATTATTATTGCAAGAACCGTCAGTTCTGTATCTAATCTTACATAAGTCCCCTTTAAGTGTAATATGACAATGCGAATTGCGAAGGATTGACAAAATACTCTTATATAGAGGCAGGCTATGTTGACTCGTTTCCCATATACATTGGTGTTTGTCTTTATGATGCAGGGGGTGGCGAACAAGATCCTGTCCGGGCCCCGCAAAACAATATTAATTATATGTGTGTGCGGAGGAGGGGTGGGGTAGCAGTCCCTCCCAGTGCCACAGGGTAATATTGGGCTGTGTAGATTTGCAGCATATCTGACCCATGGTATATGTTTGACACTGGTTGGCTCTATGATTATGATTATAATGATGAAACCCGCATTAAAACCACGTGATTTTTTGCCATTTGCGAGGGGCGCAAAAACTCAAAACCATGACGCAAAGCTCGTCATTGCGTCTCTCTCACTTAGCCCCTGTTACGATCATATGGTAAAGTTTGAAATTAACAGAAAGAATTAAACGAAACGAAATAATACTGGTAAGACATGTAGACAGTTTAACAGTATGCTATTCGTGGTTCACTATTTCTCATTTGTGGCAGTAGCTAACTTATTTAAAAAGAAGTTCAAAGATCTGACACGCCCCTTTGTATTGTATCAACAAACATGGTGTCATGTGTATCGATGACAAATCTGTAGACTTTTGAACATTTTAATGAATTAGTGGCAGGGAAATTATTCTATTCACCATTGTATATAATGACAATATGACACTCTTTTTTGAGTGTGGTCTGTGCCGTTGTTGTCTTGGTTTTGTTTCCTTTGTTGTTCATTTTTATGTTTAAGTTAAATTATTCGAAATTTCCTGATTCCTCGCATTAATATGGATAGATTGGCAGCTTTCAATGAACCACATTCCACCATTTAATTAATCTAAGTTAATCTACTGTTCAATTGCTAGAATTACTGACAAGTGTCGTGAAAGAGGTAGGCAATGCTGTTAGACTTCTAATTCGATTTGAAACTAAATAAACTTTATGATTGTCGTTATACTTGATGCTTGATTAGAAAAACAAAATGCTACTTACCGTTACATCTTCCAAGTCAACTTATGATCCGTAATTAGACCAAATTATCTTTTATCTCAAGACCCATAAAATTCACATCAGATGTTTATGTAAAAGTCAATAGCTATCTTTTCACTAGATTTAATGAAAATAATTAACATCCATTCCAGGCCTACTTAGAAATGATTATAGACAACGGGCTGAACTGCAAAAATAACGTCGATATTGAAAGTCTAATGACAAAACTCATGTCTCTCTCATTATTATTAACGAATTTTTCAATTTGTGCCGTCAATACGTTAAGCTTCTCGTTAGGTGGTTGTCAATTTTCTTTTAGATAAATCCAGCTTATATAACAGGTACGCCCGTCTCATTTCATTAATTAATCACGAATTTGAAACAAAACACGTTATCGTGTTCAGTCGTCTTGTTATATTTTTTTTCTCCTTTTGTATATGTTCAGTCTAGTTTCAGTTTAGCGTCATGGAACATCGTATTGAGAGTACTACTTTTCATTCAAACTTTTCCAATCACTTCTGAGTTATTTTCCTATTGACCATCTTTAAAGAAGTCACGACTCGTTACGTCCCTCCACGAATGAGGTATTTCGTCGAGAAGCAGACGACGCAACTGTTGACAAGCTTATTTCCCGCCTTCCTCGAGAGAAGAGTGACAGGCTGTGATTCGATAATGTCGTTTGGTCGTTACAGTTAATCAATAAAAGATCCAATCAATTTGTAACCTCTTCCCGTATACATGGTGTTTGGGTTTCAATCAATTCAAAAAAACTGATTCTCTTTTGATGGTGACATTTTGTTATTTTCTAAGGAAACGATATCGATTATTTTAAGTAACTTTGACATACAGATGAATGGCTATTAGCTTATACTATTTAATAAGCGTGTGTAATAGTATGGGATTTTACGACATTAATCCGGAATCAGCGAATTACTACCTTCAAGCATGAACAGAAATGAAAGTTCAGATCAATTTACAATTAATGGAAAAAAAAGTTGGATATATGGGGTGTGACATCCACTCGAAACAAACTCAGTCATTTCGGGACTAACGCATGGTTCAATTTGTTTAAATAATTCATTTGCGCATATGGGTCGTGGAGCAAATTCACACGCCAACTGCTTCAATGATAGACCTTATGATCTAAAGAGCACGAGTTAAACCACTCGACCCCCATCCCAACACCTTTTGATAATTAAATCACCTTTACATAAAATACAATAAAATTCCGACCAGTTAGAAAAAATTCACACGCCAACTGCTTCAATGATAGGCCTTATGATCTAAAGCGCACGAGTTAAACCACTCGACCCCCATCCCAACACCTTTTGATAATTAAATCACCTTTACATAAAATACAATAAAATTCCGACCAGTTAGAAAAAAAATCAACCACCTTTGTTTCTTCTTTCATGAGCTCTCTGGATTTCAGATAGCTGGATATAAAATCTGCTGACAACAGTATAGATCTAACACAAATCATGCAGAATGTTGAAATGAACTGAACTCATGGCACCATCCTTCTCAATGAATAATAAAATAAACCCAACGATAAATTATATAATCAAGATGGTCAGTTGGTCATAGTGATATGATCCACGCTAGAGTTATCAGTGAAGAGATTTCAGAAATTGTCACATCGTTCTTCATCTTTAACAGCACCAAAAGTCTTGCAGTCCGACAAGAATGGTCACATTTCGCAAAACCGCACAGAAAGTGGAGGTGATGTTAAGGTCCACGTTGCAAGAACGTTAAACTTTACCAGACTCTGCAAGACTTTTAATATGTAGAATTTTAATACATCAAATACTTTGCGGCGACACATGGTGTCACCCCAGTCTGTTGTAGTATCGCATACCACCAAACAGAGGGATGGGTCCACACGACACAAATTATGTAATTTCGGGACTAACATATGGTTCAATTTTATTTCAATAATTCGCTTGCGCGTAGGGGTCTTTAGCAGTGGAAGGAAACTGGAGGACCCGGAGAAAACCCACGAGGTTGGACACGCGACCCTACCCCTTGTCCCGTACAACAGGAGAACCGAAACCAGTTACCTCAATGGCACACCTTATAATACAGCGCACACGCGCTAACCATTCGGAATTCCACTCCCCTGCTCCTATTCATATAGGAAATAAGCACATACTTTACGGATATGGGGCCATTGGATATATCACTATTGGTATGTAACGATAATGCGATTATGTCTTTAACCTTTAAAATATATTTGGTATCTTAATATCACCTTTTATCTGCAAAAGAATTAGTTCCTCCTGTATATATATATATACATGTAATTGTCTAACTTGTTCAGCAAACGCGAAATATTTAGTAAAGCTAGCTCGGTTATCCAGGCGCTTTGGGCAAATCATTGAAAACCCTTAAAAATCATTGTCTAGGGTGGGTAATATACAAATACCATCTGCATTTTGCATGTCATGTATTTTCATGATCATAATATTATATAATGAGATAAACAACACCACCATGATTTCCTTTGAGTTTCAGTATAGGACCGTTTGAGATTTGATCGGGATAGTATAATTGACTCCACATCATTTGGTCTTTGATTATACCAATTACCCCTCACGTTTTGTTTAACGGTTTTTGTAAACAAACTCAGACAAATATTTACTTCACGTACTTCAACCTTTCCCCCTTTATAAATGACAAACTCACTGAATGCTTGGCAATTACATTGATGTGTCTGGCAGACATGATGCAGAACGAATTTATTGATAATTGTTACCGTGTTGTTCTTGTCTCAAACATAAAATATGCGTGCATGTTCATTTACAGAACTGACTAGCCTACATATTGAAACGCGTCGTTGCTCAATGCTAACATCCCCTGGCTAGCAGGGGTTTGTATATAAAGGGTACTTAGTAGATCTGGGCGTACATGTGTATGAAGAAATTGACAATGGGGATAAAGGTCACGTGAACACTAGAATTTATAACTCTGACAAAATACTTCGAAATGCACCCTAGTCTGAAATGTCAGTTCCTTTCCTGGTGGCACTGTGACTATAATATACCTGATTGGTAATCAGAAGGGAGTGGGGAATTTTAAGCTCTGTTTCTATCACTGATCAATATCGATTTTGTTGGCGGTGGTGACTTAAATGCTGAAGGATGCCAGAAGATGTCGGGTTCATCTTTTAAAAAATAATTACATAAACTTTCAATTAATATACCTTTAATATGTGTCAGAAATATTAAAAAAGGCCAAAAAACAAAGTTGAATCGTTTTGACTTCCTTGGCTTCAAATCGACAAACATCAAAATAGCCAAGTGCAAGATTGTGTCATTTTGCTCTATGTAACCACAGAGAGTAAATATACAGCTATGTTAGATAGTCTCCGAGCATCCTCGAAACTTGTTCAATAATTATGTCTTAATTACAGTAAAAGAAAATCAACCCTAAATCATATATTTGAACTAGAGATTGAGATAAAAACCTAATTTATATGTTTATACATGTCGGATACAATATCAATACTTTAGTGATACATGTAGTTTAAGAATAATCTAGAAATTACAAATACGCCCACATCTTCAAATCTGTATTGGCTGAAACCAGACATTCTATAACAAAGCTGTAATCTGCTTCGTTGACAATCTTTGTTGCATAGGCTAAAATGGCGAAAGTGAAAAGATCAAGTTAACGAATGACCATTTGGGTGATGTAGCTATATCATCTGCGGGGGATTATTTATTGATAGAAAATTGTTTACATGAATATTCACTGTTATGAACGGGTTATCTTTTGATTTGTATTCGCCGGTAAACATATAAATATTATTTTCTTTTTTTCAGAAAGCTGATTTTAAATGTAACTTTGTTTGGATTATAGACTTATACTTTTCAACCTCACTTCCTATTGTCTAAATCCAGGTCATGTGCACAGGTCGGTGTAATAGACATTAAATGTTTTGGGGGAGGGAATGTGTAAGTGCGTGTCCGGTTGGGAGGTGTGGGGGGGGGGGGGGCAACCATACAGGTAGTCTTGGTTCCGTTGGACTTCGTTTTGTATGAAAATATTTCAAAACAAAAGAATCGGATACTAACTGTAGGTCTGAGGAATAATATTTGTTTCCCTAATATTTGTTGTTTTTTTTATAACAATTTCTCTTTTCCCATTTTCAACCCCTTTCAACATATTTATCAAATGTTTGGATCTTTGTCGGTCTGGAAGTTAAGGTGACTGTAAAAGACAAAAATTGTCATAGACTTAAGGATTTCATGGATTTAACATTGAAGTTACCGGGTAGGAAATTACTAGTCTGTAACCTGATATCTGAATTTTGGATTATTTCCCTTGCATGCATTTTCTCTTAAAGAGGTTGGTTTGGTCATCATGGGAAGTTAACTCTAATATCAAAAATAGTCACAGGAATATTCGTCATAATAATAAGTTAAAATATGACATTATAGATATAAAATGGCATCCGATTTACCAACAGAGTTTGATTTTGTAGTTTTAGGCACAGGTCTGTAGAAAATATATCCATTATTTATTACAATGTACTTTTATATAGGAAAATGAAGGAGACGGGACTACTTTGCAGGAGCAGACGATGACTGTTGGACTGTTGACATATATTCATAAATTGTCATTTTGAATTTAGTGGCTATAAGCCTTAGTCCTGATTTGTGCAATTTCTAAAAATTTTACCCGAAAAATGGTTCCTTAACATTGCCGCAGACCCAGGAAATGGTTTCTGCAAGTCTTGAGTTAAAAACTAAATAACTTGATTGAAATGAAATGAAATGGGGTTTAACGTCCTACTGTTCTGCTAATAATACGGGCATACTTCATACAGTGTGATATGAGGGAAATTTTGCCCGGGCAGTGGCACTCTGGCCAACTCTTATATTGAATACAACTGCCAAGGGATCTTTTACATCCACGCCAGTGGGGAAACCACGTCGGAAAAATTCCGATGAACTTTCTAAACATACGACCTCCAGGCTAGCAAGCCAGCGTCTTACCCACTTAATCAGGTTATAAGTTATATGGGGTGTGGGGGGGGGGAGAGGAGGAATGATTGCAAGTGCGCGTTGCATCATAATGTCTGTCATTGAGCCAACTGGCGTGACATGGTTTTAATTCCCCGGTTGTACGAGACAAGGAATAGGGTCGCCTGTCCAACCTCTTGGGTGTTCTTCTGGTCCTCCCTTTTCCTCTATATTATTGAAATAAAATAGAACCATATGTTAGTCCCGAAATGACCTAGTTTGTGTGGTGTGGACGTTAAACCCCATTCCTCTCTCTCTTTTAGTCGCCATAGGAGAACTCGAATGAAAAATGTTAGATCTTCTGCCCTACCCTAGTATAGTTAGTATCCTTCTGACACGTTTTTTCTATACTTATGTATTCAGATAAAATATAGTATTTATTTACAGATCCTGTAAACTAAATTACAGAAACTTTGCAAATTTACACAATCTTTATGCTATTATATTACTTAGTACATGTATGTGGTACCTATCAAATTCACTTCTATTTACACAATTTTAATTTCTTATCAAATGATTTTATCTTAGGTCTGCCAGAATCCATCCTCGCTGCAGCCTTTTCTAGAATTGGTTATAAAGTGCTTCATTTGGACAGGTACTATTGCCTACATTAATGTATAGTAATGTTATTATTTACGATTATTTTACACCTCAATTTCTAAACACTTCAGACCAATTATCTTGTTCAACATTAAGTCTAAATATTCCGCAGTGTTGCTTGAAAATTTTAAATTCTTTTGAGAAGGTTTATTTCTCGTGGAATAATTTTTCCATCCCAGACCTAGATTATTAAAGTCTGGCTTTTTATAAAAAGTTGTTGTTTTAAATATTCTGATTAAAGAAAATATTAATTTATTAATTCTGCCATTATAATCAGTATCTTCAAACTGTCGAGTTACATAACAGATTTATATATTTTCAGAAATGATCATTACAGCGATCAATGGGCTTCATTCAATCTTCGAGCTCTTGAAAGATTTGCAGAGGTAGGCTTTTGAAAAAAATTAATAATTCTTTGAATATGTTCTATCAGTGTGGATATGGTGTTCAGTAGCTGATGAAATCTACAAATATGTTTTATTTTACAGAAAAAAGAAAGGAAAACTGAAGAAGAAAAAGATTATGGTGATAAGATAGAAGAATCTGAAACTTTGGTTCGTATTCCCACAGCTGATTCATTGGTAGAAAATATTAGAATAAAATATTACATTCCGTAAGTATGATAATTATTTTTAAACCCAGATCAGATGATTTTAGTTACAAAAGAAATGTGACAAAATAGTGATTTTTTTCATAATTTAAAAATACAGCTTAATACTTAGCCTCAAAGCATTATGGGAAATAGGGCTGGGCACCCTTTCTCATAGCTGAACATACTCATCAGTATGCCAAACGAAGGAAAATTCTTCTAGTCATCGAAATTGTTTTTTTTAAAAAATACTGCACGAAATTGTGTTGAAATATTGGAAAATGTTGTATACCGGTAGGTAATATGAGCTACTATGGTACAGCAGCATTTCTTGTTATTTTTGTCATGGTTTATAGTTAGACCTGTATTGAACCAGTAATTGTTATTCCTTAAATAGTTGTTAGCGTATTACTTTCAATTACTAAATTTTAAAAGATATTCCTTTCTTGGTCTCCACTGAACCTGTGATGCCGTCTATCAAATCTAATTCTTTTTCTGTTCTTTTTGGACTGTGATATAGTCAAGACATCTTTTTAAAAGGTTCTAACACTGAATAGTCTTCTGAAAACAACGATACTTGAAAACTTTGTAAAATGTTTATTGATGAAAGAAGCTCTAAATTAATGCCATGCCTGTTTCGTTTGTGCAGCTTAAATCTTATCAGGGATTGCGCCAAAGTATGTGATGTCATCTGTAGAAAGCGCTATTGAAGATTAGTTAATCCCAGTCAATATAATAATCTGACTAATAATTATCTGATAGTGATCATTTAGATATTTTAAAGGACCAGTCATATTGCCTGTATGTGTTTAATAAGATTTATAACAGAACTTTTTATTAAATTTATTTCTGTCTTTAATAGAGAACACCTAGAATGTATGATGTTAGTAGAGGATATGAACAAATTGTTTGCTCCAAAAGAAGATGATAAAAACACAGAGACAGCTATTAGTGATGATACTGGTAATAAAATAGCAAAACCTGATGAAACACAAAAAACGGGTGAAACAGATGATTGTCAAGTAGGAATAAGTGATAGTCAAGAATCGACTAAATCGGTTGATACACCAAACACCATAACTGGTGATAATACACAAAACACAACAACACAAGACAGTGTTCACAACCCCGAAACAATAGATAATACACAATGTACAGATAATGCAACAACAACAGATAATGCAGGGACAAATGATACACCAGAAACACAAACAAATGATACACAAAACTCAACAACTGATGGTTCAGTGACTGATGAAAAAACAACAAAAAATGACCAGCCTTTACCAAAAAAGAAGAAAATCTGGACAAAAGGAGAACTACAGGATAGTTGGAGAGCTTTTAATATAGATCTGGCTCCAAAGGTACAGAGATTTTTTGTTCAAATAACCCTAAAATATATGTACAGCAATGACAATATAATGTGTACACAATTGCAAAAAAGAAAAAAAGGAATCTAGAATATTGTTTAGACTTCTAGAATATGCTTGAGAAAAACAGTATTGGTTCAATGGTAAAACTGAGATTAGTTGAGATTTCTCCGATTTAGTTAAGTTTTGTGAATGACTTATCTCTGTGTATTTATTTCAGTTATTGTACAGTTCGGGTAAAATGGTAGAATTATTGATATCATCTGATGTAGCTAAATATTGTGAATTTAGAACAGTTTGTCGAGTCTTAACACAGCATAATCAGTTTATTGAAAAGGTAAGCAATACAAGAGTATTTATTGAAAACTTAATAGAGTAGATTTTGTAATGGAAAACCAGATAGGTCTTTTGTGGTTGCAAGCATTGTGCTGTTGTTTACATTAGAGATTCTGATTTTTACAATTATCAAACTTTGAGGTTGCTTTTTGATATTAATATTTTTGAAATTAAATATTTTACATTACACAAAATATCTATCTGATATTTTTGTAAACTCGATATTTAAATGTGATTTTAATATTAGAAAATATGACTGTAAGTTAAAATAATAACCACTGTCTAATTCCAACCATCTGTGGTCATGAGCTTAATCTTATACAGTATGACTGTAAATTACAATGGTTATGGGCTTAATCCAGTGATTGTATCTGACAAAGGGGGATCACGGTGGGTAAGACGCTGGCTTGCTAGCCTGGAGTTCAGGTGTTCGATCCCTGCATTGGCCGAGAAAGTTCATCCAGATTTTCCGGCGTGGTTCCCACTTGTCAGTGATGCAGGACGGAGGGCCTGACAAGGACAGCTGTCTAGTCATTCGGATGAGACGAAAAACCAAGGTGCCGTGTACACATTGGCGTGCACGTAAAAGATCCCTTGACAGTTGGAATTCGATATAAGAGTAGGCCGTAGTGCCGCTGTCTGGGCAAAATTTCTCTCATAGCACACTCTATGGCGTATGCCCGTCTTCATTAGCCCAGTTCTGAGCAAAACAGTAGGACGTTAAACCCCATTTCATTTCATTTTGTATCTGACAAGGAGTGTTGTCACCTACGGTCTACCTAACATCACATTTTTTTTTTGCCTGGTTGAAAAGTTTCCTTTCATAGCTAATAAAGATAAGCAACTAAGTAAAATATTGAAATACCTATAGTAGTTGCATTTGTTGCAGAAGTTGTTACGTGTTAGTCCTGAAATAACTTTGATATTCACAATACATGGTGTATGTCAAATCTGAGAATTTTAATTCTGTCCATTTTTCCCTTTAATATTCAGATGTGTATTTACTGAATGTAATTCTGTTTGTTCCACATTGCTGTTTTATTGAAAAATACAGTTATATATTTTCATTGCTGATGTGTGTCATAGACAATAGACATCGTAAGGACTGTTAATTATTGAGAAGCATGCAGTTAGTTTCATCAATATAGTATCATAGTAACATTAACACTGACCCCTATAAACTTCTATTCATGTTTATATCTATAGATACCGTGTTCTAGAGCAGATGTATTTAGTAGTAAAGATGTATCAATGTTAGATAAAAGGAAATTGATGAAGTTTTTAGAATGGTGTGCTGGTTATCATAAAAACCCAGAAGAATATGAAGGTAAGTGATATTTTTTATTAGCAGCTACTTATCTCATTTTACAAGTATGTCAATACAAAATAATCATGTCCCACTGTTAGCTGTGTAAGTATTAGAATTATCACAATATAGTCTCCCTCATCTTTTTAAAGGTGTACCTAAGCAGAGTTGTCTTTCCTTGCAGTTCACACTAGCCTCTGCTAATGGCTCATTTTACTATGCACTAAAATTCTGGTATCATAAAACAAATTGACAAAATAATAATAAAATATTATATTTTTGTAACTATATTCCTCTGAATATAATGCAAGAATTGGAAAATCGTTTGTGTCTTGTACCTCAAAAGAGTAAACTCACCAAGTCATGTACCTTTCCAGGTTTATTACAATAAGCAGCCCCTTGTACCACTACAGACAATTTGATTGGTTAGAAAGTTCACATGATCTGAATGTTGAATATGTCACATGTAAATGCAACAGAGAAAAAATAAAACAGAATTAATTTTTGATTTTAATCAGATTTGGTGAAAATATGAAAAGTGAGATAAAGTTTATTATTAGGTTATTTCTAATTTGTTTTCTTTCACAGAATATAAAAATCAAACATTTCTTGAGGTACTCAAATCCCGAAAACTTTCAGAAAAGTTACAAAATATTATTTCTAATGCTATTGCCATGGTAACTAAAGATGCTTCAACGGAAGAGGTATGTTGTTTTAGATTAGATATACTTTATATTTACTACTTTTATTAACAAAATACTATAACTATTACTGCATGGGGTACCAGTATTTGAGTGAAGAATGGGTTTCTCACCATAAGGTGGGCAGCCAACTGTGTTTTAGGGAATCAAGTCCAGCTTCAGGATGTCATTTTGGCAATCTATACAGGGTCGGTAATAATATCAGTGAACCCCAAACAATAGTTTTATACTTAGTGAGAGTTTGTCTTATAACTTTGGAATTGGAAATTGAATTGACATTTGTCATTATTTATTTAATCAGTAAATTGCCTGATATATGAGGATTTTACTATTTGGAGGATTGCCCAAATTACATATTGGAATAAAAAAAATATACCGTATTCGAAAAGCTTACAAGCTAAAAAAAAAGATTCGCATGTTGGAAAACAATTAAATGATTTTGGTTAATCCATTGTACAGCATTTTAAGTGTATTATATTTTTTTTAAGGGGCTAAAAAAGACACAAGTATTTTTACAGTCAGTAGGCCGTTATGGAAACACACCATTTTTATTTCCTTTATATGGATCTGGAGAATTACCGCAGGCTTTCTGCAGGTTGGTAAATTTAAACAAAATATTTTGGTGTTCAATCAAATAGCTTTTAGCAATTCAAATCAGCTATTATGTTGTGACTAAAATCTGTCAGTACATAAGATGATTATCATGAATGAGTAAACCGAAAATGAGGAAGTGCATTGCCTTCAAGTGGTATTTCAACAATGAGAAGGGAAGTAACTTTATCACAAAATACATTCCAAATAGTAAGTTCTATACAGTGAAGTTATACATATTATTGGTGGGGAGTTAAAAAAAAACGTATCTGGCATATTCTTCAAAATCAAAATCTTCTTGCATATCTTTCCAGCTAGATGTCATATTTCTAATCCAATCAAAATCTTTTAATGGGGCAATCCGAACAAAAATGTTGTAATTCCTTCAAAAAAATAAATCAATGTAAGCAAATTAAAAGTAGCCAATATTGTTTTAAGGATAGCTATGTATCTGTTAAAATTACCACTTGATGTCTATCAATTTCAATCAGCTAATGGTGAATCTATATTAGAAATATGTCTTGCTGTCTATATAAAAATATAAATTACTAACTTTCACTCCTTACTTCTGCGCAAATGGCTGTATATACATATTTTTTTTTATAGAAATTAGAGAAAATCTTTACAGTTAGCAGAACATCATGATTCTTAAATTCAATCTGTTTATTGGCTCTCCTGAATAATTGAAGGATGATGTACATAAAAACAACTGTTACTATCAATATATTACCGGTTTTAGATTGTTTGTTTTTCAGATTATGTGCTGTATTTGGTGGAATATATTGTTTACAGATGACAGCTGATGCTTTAATAATAAACAAAGATAATAAGTAAGTTAGTATTGAAATAACCTCTATATATAAAAGTCTCTAATTGTCATTAGGTTAGTTTTAATCTCTAAAAGGAACATCAGTCCAAAAATAGTATTAATAAAAATATGATGAATTGAAAATTCTATCAACATACTGCATCTTCTGCAGATGATATAATAAACGGTCAAACAAACCAGCATCACCTTTAATCTTTGCTAAATTCTGATGGGCCTCATTTTAATCCAATTGATATTGTTGATATTTATTATTTAATTAAATGTTGAATAATCATAGGAATACATTTTAGCTTGTAAAAAATGAGATTTTGTCAGCAAAATGCAGTTCTCTTTGGGGATGCTCAATTGTCAGTTCCGAATTGACTGAACTGCAGTCGTGTTACGAAGAATTCAATCTTGTCTCAGTCCCAACAACTGAGGTGGTGTGAGTAGAATCGTGACGTACTTAAACACAACGAATACGTTTCAGCTGTCATGGTTGGTTAAGATATTTTCTCAAGCAGTCGGTGCCTGCATTCTAGCCGCAAATTCCCATTTTCACTCGATTGTCACTATTTTGGGGTTTGACAGAATTCAATTCCAGAACTTTCAATTGAGTACCCCCTTTGTATCACTGTAAAGGGTGATAAATATGACAGAAATTAATATAAATTTTGTATAATAACCTGTTATATAGATGTGAAGCTATAATTACAAGTGAAGGACAGAGAATAAGCTGCAAGTAAGTATAAACAGGCCAGTCTTGACAATGTAGCTCTGAGTTGACAACAATGTTCTGTTTCAGTCTATTTAAAATTACACCAACAATTATTTTACCTTTTTACTATACTTTATCTTGGTGTAAGGATATTTGCGTTTAGTCAGATGTGCAGATTGTGATTGGTGGACTCGAGATTAACCTACCAATCTATACCTGTCATACAGAATATTCCATAAAATATTTTGAAAGACTTTCTAAATCAATAATCAAGACAATTGATTGTCTTTGTTGAATCTAAATGAATTGTATTAGGATAAGAATGCACTTTTCTTAAACATGTCTTTAGATGTTAATGTAGTAACCAACCGTCGTCATTAGCCCAGTTGGTGCAGAAAAGTAGGATGTTAAACCCAATTTCATATGTAACAAAAATAATATCTGATTTTATTGAGATTGGTATTATCTTGTATATATATTTTACATATTTATACACAGATTGTTTTAAATCACTACTGATTGTAATAATAATTTATTTTATAGGTGGTTGATCATGGGTTCATCATATTCACCTAAACAATATATTACAACAGATAATCAAAGGTAAAACTCTTTTATTATCATCATTATGAAGGATAACACTCAGATATAAATATCTCTAGTTTCATATAGTCAGATGGGGTGTTCGGAAGGCCTAGTGATCTAGCTGGCAGTCACCTCTGACTTGCCGTCGTGGTTTCGATCTCTGGTGTGAGCATATGTGCCTTCTCCCGGTTTCCTCCCACAGGGAAGACCCTGCACATGCGCTAAGTTAATGAAAATAAGAATTAAACAGCAGCAGTAGAGGATAATGACAACTCTCGTAAAGTGTGGTCTGAGATAGCTGGAGACTAATGATTGGAAGACATCTTTACTGGGATCTCAGCGATATACAAGGGGTTCATATAGAACACGATGTGAGATGAGACACAACCTGTGTAACCAATATAAGTCATACGAACTCCATAGGTATGATTATTAATAAACCTCTTTATCACACTTATGGAGTTTGTATGACTTATACTGGTTACGGGGGTTGTGTCTCATCTCACCAAGATAAGAACAACATAGTCAGAATATGTATTATACACTCACTCATCTAATTATCTAAAATGTATGACAAAGTGGTGATTTTTCTCCTCCAGGAATATTAGTACAGATTGTGTATGATTTTATATCTGAGTAGTTAAAGTATCAGCGTATAGTTTGATTTATTGAAATATTTACCAGTTTATGATTATATTTTCAGACAGCTTTCAAGATGTATTCTATTTACAGATAAAAGTCTTTTACATTCCGAATCTCAGGAGGTTCGTAACAATTCTATATAGTTCCTTACTCATTTGGGGTTTCTTGTTTATACATGCTTATGAACACATTAACTGTGTATGGTTAACATGATTTTCTCTTGGATATAAACATGTACTCTTTTCCGATTTGCTCATTCATGTTTATGAGCACATTAACCATAAGGTTTTCTTGATTTTAACCCATACTCTTCTTGGATTAACTCATGCATGCTCATGAACACATTATAAGCTATATATATGTATTACTTGAATATCTCGAAGATTTGAACTGAGAGATCCATGTCTGAACTAAATGCACATTACTATCATATGTGACCTGCTCCCATGAAATCAGGCACTTGTTGCACAATGTCATTTTGTACTACCTACACAAAAGCATTGACCGTATACCTTCTTGTTGCTGTGAATGATCCAAACTCCAGATGATACAACAAATTTAAAAAGAATTGCATTTTTGGAAAGCTTAGGCTGTTGACTAGTCAAATATACTGCCAGCTCTATTTTCCATAAAAATGACCAAGAGCCTGGTTTTGTGGGAGTAGTTCACATATGTTTATCTACTTTATGTAGTTGTTGAATATTTCAGTTATCGTTGCTATGGGTACCTCCAAGTGATCATAATAAACATCCCATCACCGTATTAGAATTACCTCAGTCAGCTATGGTATGTCCTAAAGATTTATGTAAGTACATTACAATATGTAATTCTACATTTTCTTCAATATTAAAGTATACTTTGATAAATTTTGTCTTTTAACTGGAAAAAAAGTCATTGGAATGTCAACTGTATAGATTAAGAATAAATTTCTGAACAATTATACAATTTTGTGTAAAAATTTAGTATTTTGAAATCATGATAGGATTTTATAATGGTTCCCGATTTGAGAATATTTTTCAGGAGACATCTGTTTTAATTAATGTTTATGTATTTGCTAGATATGGTTCATCTAACAATGGAGGGATCAGGTGATCCAGAAACAGATTTCTCTCCCTTTGTTAGTCAGTATTTATCAACAGATGGACAAACACAAAATGATGGTATGTGCAATAATTTGTTTTTTTTGATAAAATTTTGATATTATTTTTTTAGAACGGTAGGAAAGGTTGAGAAATCAGATTTAAGATAGATCTGCCCTTTTTGATATTTTTCATAAAATGAATTGAAGAGGTATGTAAAATAGAAATTGCCATAACTTAAGTTATTTTTCCAGTAGTTTTGATTGTGTATGGTTTTAAGCTCTATATTTTGACATGTATTGCGTTTTATTTGATGATATATAATATTTGATATACAGAACCAAGTGAGAAGCCTAGTATACTGTGGTCAGGATATTTTAGTCAACCAGTTTATACAGTAAATGAGAAGACAACTGATGTACCTAGTAATATATTTATATTAGATGGTCCCAGTTCGGATATTCATATGGATGACCCAGTATCACAGGTATTTATCACTTTTTCTGATTCACACTGCTTATTTTTCAGTCGAACATGATTATTTTTCAATTACATATACATGATTGACTTGATATTCTTGATTTGCTCAATTTATTGGCCCTTCCTATGTTCCGGAGCTGTGATAGTAGAGCAGTTGAGACTAGCCTACAGTACTTTTATTTCTATGTGCAAAGTGAGGGGGAGAATTTTGCCCAGGCAGCCTACTCATCTTCTAAGAGCTCTTTTATGTGCAGTATAAGTTTGTGTATGGAGAAACCTTTCCCTGTCAGCTCCTGATGCCTCCCCCCAAAAGAGTCTTTGTAAGTCCACACAAGCACTATGGCCCCTTGATAATTAAGAATAGAACTAGTGTTACTGTGTTCTTGGGAAGGAACATATTTATCTGAATGTATATGAATCTTATTGACTGTTGGAATTCAATGAAGAGTAGTTGGAAACACCAGCTTGTATGCACTTTAGATCATAAGGTCTGTCATTGGTTCAAGTGGCATGGTTTCAATCCGGATCTTGTGCATGGGTATTCTGCAGATCCTCTGGTTCCCCCCCACCCACACCACTGCTAACAGCCCTATGCACATGCAAATTATTGCAATACAATTGTACTATATGTTATATTATACCCATTTCCCTTTTCAATCCTTGGCATGCATGTAAAAGATTGATATAAGAGTAGGCTGTAGCGCCGTTGTCCGGGCAAAATTTCCCTCATAGCACACTGTATGACATATGCCCGTCTTCATTAACCCAATCAGAGCAGAACAGTAGGACGTTAAACCCCATTACATTTCACATTTCAATCTTTCAGACAAAATATAGCATCTTTGAATAAAAATGTGACAGAAGAGTTAATCTTTGTATAAACAAGTGTAGAACGTTCTATTTATTATATTCATATATCTCAAGTTAAATGTGGTTATTGCAGGCCAAAGAGATATTTAAACATATTTGTCCAGATGAGGACTTTTTACCCAAACCACCTCATCCAGACGACATTATTTATGTAGATGAAACAGAGGCTACAGCTGGGGAGGGGGAATCATGGGTAGGTGAAAAAGAAGAGGGAAAAGATGACCAAAAGAATGGTACTAGTCAGAAAGTAGAGCAGACAGAAACAGAAAGTGAAGAGAAAAAAGAAACTTCCCAGAATAACCTTCAGGAAACAACAGACGACTCCAACTTGTCAAGTGATCAAAATAATGTTACTGCCAACAAACAAGAATTATAAAATACATCTTTGTGCTTAACTCTTTGTCCAGCTTGATGCCCTTACTTATTAAGACAAATTTTAACCAAGCATTGAATATTCTGTGTCCGTCACTGCAGTTGTACGTTCCTTAGAAATATATATATTTGTTCTTTATTTACACCTGAGAACAGATAGAACATTGCTTGGTTTATTACTGTAATACTTTAAAATTTGAAAATTGAAATTAATATTTGTCGACTGGTTCAACAATATAAATATGTTTATCTATGTATATAGTCATACTACATGTCTTTATTTATAGGGTTAAAATATGATATAATTACACCCTGTCTAAATCATGTATAAGAGAATAGGGGTGATTGAATGGTATAATGTATGTGCTTTAGATCATATGGTCTGTCATTGAGTCAAGAGAAGCATGGTTTCTATTCCCTATCCCACACTTATACATGACAAGTAGTAGGGTCGCCCGTAACTCTGTGGGTTTTTTCCAGGTCCTGGGTTTACTCCCAATGCAAAAGACCCCTACATGCAAGCAAATTATTGAAAAACAATGATGGACAGGATTGGAAATAATGATTTTAGTTGAACCTGGCCAAATGTTACCTGAATTATATTTTAAAGGTATTAATAAAAAGACAGGTACCTTATTTCCAGGTTTTATTTTAGAAGACCTTGAAGAAGACATTATATAATGATAACAACTTAGTTTATTAAAATGTTGTTCCAATTTATAAACTATGAGAAATAATATTGATGACTAGATCAATAAATTGACATAATGATAATTTACTTCCAGTAGAACTGGATAGCAATGTATAATAATGACCTATTTGTTATCTTAAAATATAATCCATACTTTTTAACATGTCACCTTTGTTATTCAAACAATTTTTTAAAATGTGTAATAAATTATGAAATGCAAAACATAGTGATAATATATGTATGTGATAAAACTGTATTGATGTACAAATACACTGGGAGTAGAAATTCTGATTCAAATTGAAATGTCTCCTTTATCCTCCATTTTCGGGGTCTTGAATTAGTTGTTTTAAAACCCATTCTCAAGAACATGTTTAATAGACATTATGACAAAATTGGCATTGTTAGAATATAACTGAACACTGAATGATGTGAACCTAATGATTTGTGCAATGTACATAAATGTATTGGTTTTTAATATATTAAATGTGGAAGAATTGAAGTAGTCAGTTAATATTTATATCACACTAATGTGAAAATATATCATTTAATGATGATAAACATTTTTTGGAATGGGTTTAAAGTTTAATACGTCTGATGTCGGGAGAAAAGATTCTATTTTGGTGGCATATTGTCGGATTTATGATCATATTTTGAATGGGGTTTATGTTTTTAAAAAAATAAATAAACACGCTAAGAAATGTTGACGAATATTTCGATTGAAGTAACGTAAGTAGTTCTGGTAATTGTTTTAGACGATAGCGCGTGCTTAAAGTCGAATGGGATTATTTAGCAGTTGGTGTCACTCGCTCGTTGTATTAGAGCGACGTTTACTACGGTTTATGGCCAAATAAATTTCGGGATGTCATTTTTTTACCTTCCGTGTATAAATCGAAACGGAGTATAAGACGAATGCCGGACTTTGCTGAAAAATGTATCGACTTATGATCCGAAAAATACGGTAATTTGGGGGGAATTTGAAACCGGTACGGATGGGCAGTTCGGCACGCTTCCATTCTATGGTATTACGATGTCATGTAATTTTATAGGAATATTATTGACATACATTTGAATACCGTACGGGAATCAAATATGAAAAATAACGAGGTGCACCTATTTTTTTTATTACGTATAAATTTGAATATTTTGTTGACACGTGAGTCTTAATTGTGGTTTGAAAACGCCTGCTTAAATAACGATAAGAGTTATGTCCCTCTATTTTCAGGAAAAAAATGTCCGACAACTAAAATTTTGAAATCCCATCACTGGTTTAAACATCGATTGTTTCAGCTCCATTTTTAACAGAACTGGAATTTACAGGATATAATTCTATGGAATACAATAATTACTGTTTGTTACTGAGCCAAAAGTTTTGTCCCTCCTTTTCGACCATAAAAAAATAGGTATACATTGTCCGTCAATATTACAGCACACCCGAGAACACTTCCCGCCCCCTCGTTGCTCTCAGCTAGTTACGGCCCTGCCGATTATTTGTTAGCAGTTTTACATCTAGTTGGGGACGGGGGCTCTTAAGGGCCTGTTTACAAGAAAGGGACTAACCCTCGTTGGCGAGCTAGCCCAACTAAACCAGCCCACTCTTAAGACATCATTCAATTTAAAACGGGAATTTCATATTTTCTAAGAAAGTCAAAACATAATTATTTCTATGTCTTTTGCTCAATAGTTTATCAACTCACTATTATACGACCATGGGCATTATTCCCCACCCTTAAAAATCATTGACACAGGAAATAATAACACAATTACCTCCCTTGTTTTCCTATTGCCTCCATGCATTAGCTACCTTCAAAATTTGGAATTTGAAGTTGAAAATGATATTTTTGCCAATTTCTCAGCTGGCAATAGTGAATTATAGGATAAATAGAATTATTCTTTAACAAGGTAGGACGGTTTATGGATACCATCTATTTTAAGGCTTTATTTTAATAAATTTTAAAAATATAACTTAAAAATATGAAATTGTAGCTTTAAATACGGTTTGATTTATAGATTAGTCTTTATAAGGGAAGCAGGCTGGTCATTTTTGTCCGTCATTTCTTAATGATATTTCCAAAATGGGGGCCATTTTTTGGTGAGGGAAAAGGGACGATGTGATGTTTTTGATTAAGTAGTAGTGTTTGGTGTCAATATATATGTTTTCTGGGTCGCAGATTCCATTTCTGACATTTACAACCTTGTAAAATAATTACATGTTCACATACTTAGCATATTTCCAAGATGGCGGCCATTTTTGGCGGGAAAATGGGACGATGTGCAGGTTTTGGTTCAGTAGTAGTGTTTGGTGCCAATAGATATGTTTATGGAGACGCAGATTCCATTTCTGACATTTGCAACCTTGTAAAATGATCACATGTTCACATATTTAGCACTTCTGGCGGAAAAGCGGACGATGTGCTGATTTTCATTAAATAGTCGTCTTTGGTGTCAGTATATAAGTTTTCGGGGCGTAGATTCAATTTTTGCCATATTCAACCGCGTAAAATGATCGTATGTTCACCAATTTAGCATATTTCCAAGATGGCGGAACGTTTTCTAAACACATTATTATTACGTATTTACAGGTTTCTGAGTCCAATTCTACTACGTAGGCCTGTAGCACATTCTCCACTAATGGACCCAAAAGCACATTGTCTTGTCGCATCCATTTTTTCACCAATTAAACATAAATTATATGTGTAAACGTGCTTAAATAAATTACGCCAATGTTTATCGTAATTGCATCTTTCATTTTTGACCTTGAAGTTTACTGTGTTGATGTAGCATATAACATATTGATCAGAAATCATCAAATACGTTAATGTCGCATTGACAGGTCGCTGTATTTAAACCAATGTTCTGACGCAGTGTACTTGACCAAAACCCTGAAGTCGCAACATTATGGCTTGTCGCAAAATTTTGTATCAGATACGATAGTTATTTCTGGACTTACAGTCACCTACAAAATCCGTTTCGAAAACATAGTTTTTACTATTAAACAGAGCACAACTTTATATATTTAAGAAAAAATATTACGTCGGGTAGATGACCATTAAGATAAATATTTCTAGTTACTTTGAAAGTGAAAAAATAAACTAAGTATGTAATATCTGCATCAGATACGATATATTTCAAGCATGATTAAACGCTATTCATACAAGATTATTATCTTGATAATTGTGCAAGTCGATTCACATCTGATAGCTCTCCATCTGAACATTTTTTTCGGTTCTTGAGAGTACTAACTATAATTATATGGCTAGTGGAACCATTTTTACGTGAGATACGTTTTCATCAGATACGTTGTACTCTTCAAATATTGTTTCTACATTAGTGTTCCATATATTATTTCCCGCCAAATAGCCCGTTTACCACGTGTCATTGACGGTAGGCTGCCATTTTTGTCAACGTTAAACACGTCTAGGCCACGTTTTCATCTACAATTTGAAGAGAAACACAGATGCATTAGGTAAGTAAAGTTGTGATTCTGTCATGGTTATTGTTTACATCCTAGTTCGTCAAAATTCTGAAATATAATTAATAAAAATCCCCCACAATTACCCTGAAATAAATACCAACGATTTATACATAAGATAATATTGTTGACGCCACCATTTATCCCTTAACGTATCTGAAGAAAAGTTAATGTATTTTACGGTATTAGTGTAGTCCATAGAATCAAAATTAATTAGTCTGGAGATTCATCAATCAGTAATTACCCCGTAAGAATGTTAAGCGTGCATTATCTGCCATTAGTATTTGAGAAGTCCTGCATTATATTGTGCTATCAGTATTAACGTATCTTACGAAAAATTTAACGTATTTGATAGAAATTCTAAAATTCATGACTTTACTGAAATAATTCAAATTATCTTTTATCTGTTTTCAGTAATATGGGTAAAACGCCAGCTGAATATCAGAGAGAATATAGAGAGAGGAAGAAAAGAAAAGACCCGGCATACCTTGAAGGAGAGAGAAAACGACAAGAACGATACAGAAAGGGGATACATGATTTAAATATAAAAGATCAGAAGAAAAGAAGAGAGATGTCGAAATTATATGGTTTCACATATCGAGAGAGAGAGAAACACAAAAATGCGAAAAATACCCCAAAGAAACCCCCAGAAATAGAAATTGTAGAATGTAGAAAAACAAGTAATGAGCAGTCACCAACTATATCGTCTTCCAATGATGCCTTTGTCTTTGGGCCAAGTCCATCTAATCGAAGATCATCTACACTAAAGAAAGCCAATAACAAGATATACCAATTGAGAGAAGAAATAAAGAAACTGAAGAAAGCTAAAAAAAAAATATGAGAAGAGGTGTGAAAGAATGACGAAAAAAACCCCACAAACCCTCGAAAGTACAATTATTACCCAAGAAGAAATGAAACCAAAATCTAAAACGAAACATGAACTAAGAGAAGCTGGTATCAGTCCCAAAAGAATGAAACCCTCAATAGTCAAGAAATTAATAATGACAAATGCCATAATAAGAGAAGTTAAGGAGACAAAGAAATTAAACACAGAAGAATCGAAAAGGCGGATTTTTTATGGAGTGGTGAGCGGAAAGATTATTAAAAAGTATAGATGTATGTCCATTGTTGAGAAAGAGATGACGCTAAGCAGAAAATCACAGAGGCTTAACAACAGCAAGAATATACAGTTGATACCAAGAAAGAGAATTGAGGCAGTGCGCACTGATCTCCAACAAAAGGTGAAAGCTTTTATTGAAAGAGAAGATATCAGTAGAATGATGCCGGGGAAAAATGATGTCACAAATTCTGATGGAACAAAATACCAGAAACGAATACTAAATGATTATTTATCAAATCTCTATGAAAAATTTAAAGCAGACCATCCATTATTGAGATTTCTTTTTAACATTCTGTAAATTTCGACCTACGTATATTCATGTTACATCTGTCCTGTCCCGTAACATATGTTTATGTCATAAACACCAAAGTTTTGCCATGAAGCTTCAATGTCTAAGGTCTCTTGGTGTCAAGATATCTCCAAACCCAGAGAATATTGTAAAGTCTATTACAGAAGCAGATATGAAGAACATGTTAAGTGAGATGACTAAAGAGAATATCGAATATGAAGAATGGCAGACTGTAGTTGAATCAGAAAGGAAACGTTTGAGGGTTGTTAGAGTAAGAAAAACGAAAGTAGAGTTTAAAGAAATAATGATAACTGAGTATTCTGATTTTATAAAGCACACAGACCGAGTTAAAGATCAATTTAAAGCTCTACGTGATCTTTGCCAGCAGGCCATGTTATCATCCAAATGGACTTTGCTGAAAATTTTGTTTGCCAGGCTGTGGATGAGATACAAAGTGCATATTTTAATTCCACTGGAGTAACCATTCACCCAGTTGTAGCATACCATAAAGGGTATCATTCAACATAAGAGTTTAGTCTTTGTTTCAGACGTCGGTCAACACAAAGCTACAGCTGTATTGACAATCATCAATAAATTGATACCAGAACTAAAAAAAACTAT